CTTTGGGCCAGGAAAGTGCCTGAACAAGTGTTTTTTGAGCACACAATTCTGGTTTCAACAAGCGGATGATAATTGCCTCGGCTGTTGCTAGCGTTTTAATTCGAACAGCCTTGGAGTTGTGTTGTGGGACGCGATAGATGATGGTGTAAGCAGAATTAGTATCCACCCGATGTCCAGTTTCGACCAGGTGCGCAACAATGGAACTGGAAATAACTCCGATTCCTCCGTGTCTAAGCCAAGTAGGCTGATGTTCCTTGATGCGCTTAGATAGCTGCCTTGTCCTACGACCTACATAAGTGGCACCACAGGTGCACTTGAATTGAGCATTGACGAGGTCAACATAGGCAACTTATCCTTGTTCTGACATCGGATGACGGGTGATGTTGAGAACACGCAACTGAGTTTGGCAGCATTGAACGTTGTTTTGACTGCGGCACTCAGGACTCTACTAACCCTTTCAGCTGCTGGATCTCCTTTGAACGGAAGTTTGATGATCAAAGTCTTTTTCTCAGATCTATCTGTAACAACCTATTTTATTGTTTCAGACGCATATAAACAGAAAACATTACCAAGACCGGAGTCAATTACACACCAGAATTGGAAAACAAGTTACACTTGTCAGTCATTGCTAGATGAACAAGACACATTTGATCTGGATGGTACAACTTCCCATCATTCGGAGTCTGTGAGAACTTGCCTCGACAAAACATTTTCACAAAAATGGGTCTGTATAGGTGGGCATGTGCCCCGTTCTCCCAAAACTCCAGAGTTGAGTGTCTTGTCTCTACAATAAAGTCTTCAGAAACTGATGTCTGTTGCGTATTGGAGACAGGAATTCGGGATCCTAGTATTATGAGCCGAGTCTGTCCTCGGGCATCTCCTTTGTACATCAGAAGACTATGAGCCCGCTCACTGAACCAATGTGGTTTAGGGATCGTACTAAGCGATTAACCTGAACCTCTGATATAGATTGGATACCCGTCGAAATCATTGGTCCATAATGAGGCTTCAGAGTTCAGTTAATGATAGGAAAGGCAGCAATACAAAAAGATGTTTGTTCATCATTTCCGCATATTCATCAATCAACTCTAGTCCCACTTCACAAAAGGACGAATTTTGCGACGAACTCACCGAACTCATTCCGGTGAGCCGCAGCTCTGATACTATAGTGCTGACAGGTGATTTTAACGCCAAGGTTGGAAAATTGAGCGCATCCAATGCCTGTCTAGGAGGGCATTTCGCTCTTCCCGCCTAGCGAACAGACAACGGTGATCGACTAATGCAGTTCTGCGCAGGTCAACGGCTGTTTTTATCTAGCATCAACTTTCGACAGAGGTCTCGTCGAACGGCTACATGGTGTTCTAGATCAACGGAAAAATCGACCCAAATCGATCACATAACTATAAGCTACCGTTGGTGTGGTTGAGTCGGACCATTCACTAATTCTGTTGCGCTTCACTCTTCGACTCGTCGGTCATCGGTGGAAATTGCCTAGTGACAAGTGACGGTAACATAGTCGATGAAGTAACCATCCGCATTCCCAAGGCTCGAACAGCTTACGCAGGACTGACGTGATGGTGAAAGGTCGTGTATACTGTGTCACGGTGCGGTCAGTTCTGCTCTACGGTTGCGAGACCCTAAATTTGTGTGAGGAAAATATTCCTCGTCTAGAAGTCTTCGACTGCCGCTGTTTACGTAGTTTGGTGCGGTTGGATGGAGTGAGCGTGTAAGCAACTCTGAGGTGGGGCGTCGCGTATTTCGTAATGATTCGATAGAGAATTCGTTGTCCCATCGGCTTCGCTTGTTAGAATACGTATTGCGCATGCCCAGTCATCGTCTACTGTACCGCGCCCTATTCGTAATTACGGCTCTAGGTTAGAATAAACCACGTGATCAACAGATGACGTGGAAGCCAGTCATGAAGAAATGCACAGATCGATGAGGTAGAATTGGTGTCTCCCATCTTCCAGGTTGGGGTCCGAAAGACTCTACAACTGGCTGGTTGGAGACACTGATGGATATAGCGACTAACCGACAGCAGCGGCGTTCTTGTCGTCATTTTTTATCAGGTCAGAATGCTTGAAACGGTATGCATGCAGAGTTCGATTGTGTACTCTGTGTTGACAATAGAGCATCACTTTCTTTGCTTCCTTCCAGTTGGGGCCAATCCCTCTCAATATTGTGTTTTATTACTTGATTTGTGTGCATTGTGAGCTTGGTAACGATCAGCCTAGTTCGCTTCATCGTATCTCGCTGTACGATGATAATGATGATTCAAGTGAAACCGTTGTAACTTCAAGCGAATCCAATCAATCGCATTCTATTGGCAATCCCACAAGTTGATTATTGATTCAGCTGTCACACGTAATCGATTGGACCGGGTCCATCAAAGTCCCGTCTAGTTGGAATGAACTGATTTCTCCTTAACATAAAAGTACTTTTGGAGTGAGTTGTTGAGCTCAAATGAAAATTTTGTTGGAGTGGGGCAGGGTTTGATTATTCGTCTCTCAACCCAAGAACGATGTGTCCTTGACCGTTGATTGAGTGATCTTTTGACGAACATGAACGAAGCCACGATGACTGACCTCAGGAAGCGAATCACATCAGGTTGGACCGATAAATCGATCATCATGCGCAGACGTCAAGACAGGAATGAATCATTGCATGAGTGGGTGCAGCCCCAGCCCTCAATCGCTTAGTGAGTAAATTCCATTGAGCCCGAGATTCCCTCGACTATCACCGATTCCCTGGAACCAAACGCAACAACCTACGGATTCCTTGCGTTAAAAGGCACACGTGGTAGGATACTCAATAGTGGCACGAGGATACAGCGATAAAATAAACGATATTTCCCCAAAATAGAAAATTTAAATTTGGTTTCGTTCAACAGTTCTTCCATACTTCCTGAATTGACGATTGAATTCTATCCGCAATGACAATGACAACAACCTGTGGCCTACAGCTTCTCTTTTTGGTACTCAGTTTAGCCACATAGGACCTCGACATTGTTGTATCATGTCTCGTCATCCTTGTATCTTTCATATGATAAAATCTATGTAACCCTTTTAGAGCAGTAGGCATGTGGTGATAAGAATAACTCAGAACTATCCATGGCACACGATTTTTTCAGGGGCACGTAATGGGTGAAAAAAACCGTGGTTGATCAAACCAAGCAATGCAATGAGGGTATGAAAACCCTGATCAGGAGAACCGGTTATATATGATCGCGCTGGTCTCCATAAGTTGCATTCAATGGTTAGAGATGCTGAGCGTTATGCTAGGTTATGCTAAGTTCCGGTTGTACATCTTCTCACATTCTTTACAAAATTAGTCTAATGAAATTCTACATTTTCTCCTCTACACTGCCTTCAACTTTTCAACTTTTATTCTACCCGTTCCTACAAATGAACAGCCAAAAGACAGCAACCAAAACCCAAGCACAAAAGTGCATGTTTAATGATTGTATAAACCAAACAGAGACTGACATGAATCTGTCAGCTCGATTATTTCTACATTGTGTTTACCAGTCAGTCCAGTAACGATTCCTCATGCAGGCTATTGGTTATATCTCCCGAATTAATTCAGGTAACTACAGATTATACGTTATAATGAAGATAGTGAAACTAAATGAATGGGATAGTTTTGTGGAGCTCTATTTGGTGGAGGTTTGCACTGTATGTTTGAACTATAACAGAAATTGTCCAACAGTACCCATAGGTCCGACTGATTGGGGTTTGCAGAAGAATTGCAACTTCTACCATCCCCACAAAATTCTTGACCGCAACCTTTTGATCAGGGTTGGTATAACCCTATTAGCAAATGTAGCAAACCAGTATGCAGTATCCTCGCTTTCATATTCGCTAAACAGAATTCCCACACATTATAGTTACGGAGAGGCAAGGTCTATAGAATTTCGAAAAAGTGTGCAAACCAGCAACAGTGATACGAACACATGTAGCGTTTACAAAACATCACAATGGGATCAACCTACCAAAAGCGACAATTCGCGTAAGATGCAATTTCTATTGAAGCATGTCTTAGTGACAGGCACCGGTCCTTTCTGGTGCAAGGTGCAGTGGAGACTACCTGTAATGACAAAAAGAAATTCAGCCCAAATGATTATATACATATATATACTTCCTGGGTACATGAATGAACTGGCAAAAGGTTACCTGGAACGTATGCCTGACAAGCGGCAAGAACCGCGAAACCGGTCTTGTGCTTCCAGGGAAATTTTGTCCAGTCATTCACATACTACTTATTACCAAATATATATATCCTCTGCGCCATCACATCATCATCCTGCCATTAGTAAACCTCCTTATCTTAAGCATTATTAGCAAAACAAAACGTAATAATGATAATAATAATAATAATAATAACGACTGTGCTCCATATCACTAGGTGAAGGGGATTACTAAACAATTAGAAGTACCTGCAAGGGAGTAGAATGTAAAACTTACTTTTCGCAGATGTTCAACAGAAGCGAAGGAATAATTTTGTCCATATTGGAACCATGGACTACATCCAAGTGCAACTGATCACCAACGGTTTTTCGGACTACGCCCTGAATACCAAATATTCCAGCCATTCGAACCCTGTGAGAGAGGAACGGTGAAACATGAACAAAGAGCATGTTGCAATAACCTACTTGTTCCGTTCTCGAATGTTTGGAAATGAGGCATGAGCCATTGAGCAGAAATGATCGATCAAATCGTTATATTCTTTTAAATAATTCGGAACATCATCCTCGATCTGCGAAAATTCGACAAACTAGAGAGACAGTTATGAACAGTCAAAATGTTTGGAGGGGGGAGGAGAGGGACAGAAACGTACTGATTTGGCAGCCAGGATTTGTAGATCGACTCGATTTGTTTGGAGAAGAAGATGAACCATTCGGAGGAAAACTTGAGCCAGAACTAGTCTCTGACCGTGACAAGCTTGGATAAGTTTGTTGATACACTCAATGGCAATAAACATATTCCTAAAACGAACATATTAGTGATGAAATATATAGGTCCCGGAAACCTACAGATCATAACGCCGGCTCACATCCTGAGAGAGACGTTTATAAAGATACTTGGCAATGCGGTCTAACTTATCTGGTTGATGCAGACAGTAATGAATTAGTTTGTTTTGATTGTTGGTTTCCTAAAAATAAAATTTATTCACAGTCGGATCACGATTAAACGTTACCTGTGGATTGCCTGAATATACATTATCAACCATTCGCATCCATTTTGGACGACAGGGACCGACAAGAACGCAAGGGACACGACAACCTAATTCCATAGTCCAAAAGAAATGTAGGAACTTACGTGCTGATAAACACATTACGTGAAAGAACGAGAGTGAAAAGCAGCTTTACAACGTTCAACCCGAGGCCAGTTTACAAACCACTCCACGAGTAGGCGAATAGTTGAACTGTATGTTACTGAGTAAAAATAATGTAGCAGAATACAACGGTCGATTTACTATAACGACCACGTGGTTTCTGAAAATAAAGAAAGGTTACGATAAATTAGAAAGAAAATGATTAATGGAGAAAACCACTGAAGACATCAGTACAGATAAAAAAGAAGCGGTAGCAGTGGTTGTGGTCAGGAGATTTCAGTGGCTGCCACTGGAGTGTTCTCCTTAGAGATCCTATGTACAAACTCTATCATCGCCACTTTGATGGTGATTAGCTCCGCTGCCGTCCGGTTAATTACGATTTCTGTTATTGGGATTAAATGCGGTTCGCTCCCTGAATCAACACTGTTTATGACACCGATCGTCACAATTCAACAGTAGGTCTTCGTGACTCCCCCTGCTCCTTATCGCATTAGGGTATTCTATTTTTTTTCAAATTAGAAACAAAATTGAACGCGGAATGAAAAATGACGATTGGATGGCAACCGAATGTATTTTCATTTTTATGTATCGTATTGCCAAGGCGAAACATTATAACGAGTCAAACAACTGAAAAGTAAACCACTCCGCCGAACACAACTAACAACCTCAAGGTGATGGTTACAAGGAGTACTGAGACCAAGCTTAATAGATCGGTAAAATAGTGATTCAGAGAACGGGAGTGATTCCCCTCAACATACGAATTCCAATATACATCATACAACAAACTGAAGACGCGGAATCGATGGACAAACAAGTACACAACAGACCAGAGCGTGAGGCATAAGCAGACCTAATTCATTTATGCACTACTATTTGACAGGGAGCCCTAGTCTGAATGGAAATTGTCCCAATAAATAGTAATACACAGCGCTGGCCTACTATGTATATACAGCGATCCCACTGAAGTCTGTACACGTAACGATGCAGTCGTCACTGTCGCATCTTTCGCCGAGGCCGAACTTCCTCAATGCGTTGGGGAAGAGCAAGGCTCGGAAGGGCGTTCTAATTCCATTCAACCAGCAGGATATCGAATCTTCATTTTGTGTTTGTTTCACCACGACCACCGACGAAGCACGATGAGCGTCGCTTGCCGGGAACATCGTGGTATGATCTGGCAATTTAATCTCAAAGCGCGACTAAGTGACACAGTTTTGAAGCATCACTTTGCACTTTGAAGGTGCAAAGCACATTCCAAATTGGGTAACAGCACTTGTTAGTCTATCAAGTGCGCTTTACGTATTCTCCATATATTTGAACAGACAGACGGTCATTAGCCTACTCTAAATCGCACAGCTTTTCTCTAGCTGACCATTTATTGCCTACACCTTGTAATCATTCAGTGCGTTCTCCAGTTTTCAATTTACAACGAAACTGAAAAAGAGTGGCGAAATAGGGCACCCTTGATGAAGCATGTTGCTCGTGACGAACGATCTATTTCGTTGGTTATAAACCCTCACTCGATCAGAGGTATGTGACCGCAGTAAGTTAACATACTTCTGGGGCATTCCTTTTCCAAGAAGGGAGCCCATTACAGGTCCGCGGTGGAAGACTTTTTAAGATCAAGAAACACTGCGATCATTCGTCAACGATGGGTATGACGCAGCTCGAGGATCTGACGCAACGTAAAAATTTGATCAATACATGCACCAAGAAGCTGGAATCCG